GTTGTCGATGTAGGCCTGGTTCCCATCACCAAGAAGCGCCTTGACTTCTGGGGAGAGTACAGGACCTTGCTGCCGCCCTTTCTAGCAAAGTGTAAGTCATGAATCGTGAAGGATAAAGCGTCGGTGAAGGAGAGCACAATATTGGGAAAGGGCGAAGGATTGAATTCAAAATATAGGGTTTGTGGATTGAGACTTTGGCAGTAAACACACCTTACGCCGTTTCCCAACACCTGACGCAGCGCGCAAGTCATCTCTGAACTCTGCCTCCTTATCTTCGATATTGAAGTCCCATTCCTTCGCCAGTGCATTTTCGTCGCTGCGGTCACGAATCCCCTTGACAAGTCGGCTGGAATACAATTAGTGCTGGACGAGAGCATAACAGAATGATTCTACTCGAAATCCACGTCTCGTTCTGGCGGAACATTGGTCTGCTCGTCTTCCTCGCCACTTGAAGGCTCCTCGGAAGAGCCGGACGCATCCGTGTATTCGTCGCTAGTCCCGTCGTATTCGTCTTCCTCAAGTATCATCGTAGTTGGAGGCAGAAAGCGTTCTTGCCGCCGGCACTTGAATTGGGATCACTCAGGGATCACTGAAAGACGCCGAGACTTTGATTCAATAAAAGCTTGTTGGGGCTTCATAACATTCATTGCTTAGTGAAAATCTTGTACAAAGGAAATGACATGTATCTTATACCCTAACGCACACTTTCACAGTGTCGTTGGTTCAATTTCAGTACTGGCGGTGAGACCCCAGCAGGACGTCGCCGTCTTACCCTACAGCACTTGATTGTTGCAGATACCATACACACCTACATATGCCCTAAGTATTCATTAAAATTACACTAGTCAAGTTTGTTTCCTTAAGACTGAAGGCGGGAAACAACAGAGTTATACGCCGCCTTCGCCTGATAATTGTTGTCGAAAAGAAGTGGAGAAGAGCTGGCCCTCCAGGAGTTCTAAAGCATGTTAAGCCTTTGACGGGTCTTGAGAAGCGCTACTATAAGACGTACCTTGTCGCTGACTCCCCAGCTAGTGATCGCCACGCACTGAGAAAGGTTGAGGCAAGCATTGGTGACAGCAAGGTAATCCGACGCCGACGCGCTGGCTATGTCCAACTCGGTGATGGCGACCTCAAGGCCAGTAGATGCCAGCGCCTGAAGTGCTGCAGCCGCGCCACCTGATCCACCAGCCTGGGTCAAATGTCAGTTCACCCAATATGTAGTCGGCAAACATCAGCATACGCTCAAATGCATCTGCGTTCCGACACCGTCGATGAGCTGGCCGTTGGCATTAATACGCTTCACAAGCGCAACCATCCCCTGCGTCTTTGCGTTGTTTGAGTCGAGGTTGTAGTCATTGATGTAGAGTTTGGCACTGGGATCTGCGCTACGCGCTGCCTGGAAGGCAATACGGATGAAGTCCTTTGAGAAGGCATGTCAGGGAACAATGAGTCGCCAGCAGCAGATGGGGCCTTACCTCCCCAAGGACATTGGAAAAGACGCTGGAGCGAAGAGAGCCGTCTTCGTTTAGGCATTCGCTACGCCGAGTCAGCAATCGAATCCAAGGCTTCCCACTTAATGCTTACTTGACTACGTCCCACTACACAAGTTCAGCACAGGCCTTTGAGATGAACTTCCAGAAGAGCACTCACCGCGTACAGTTTCCCTTTGTACCGCCCAGCAAGGTTCGAGATATGGTTTTGGATGACCGAGGTCAGTGTAGCCTTGTCTCCGATGGAGGACACCCAGCCTGGGAGCTGAGAGTGCCAGACTGACATACACACCATCAGGCGAACAATGTCATAGTCATAGTGACAAGCACGTACCGAGCGTATGCCCACGCACGAGCTTTCCGTTAGACTGCGCCCAGTTGACCAACGTGTCCGCATTCCCGTAGTTGAACGACCCTCGACTAGGTTCCGTCGCGTCCCATTTCATCGAGTTCTCTGGCGTCACTTGACCGAACTCAGACTGCAGGATGGCGGCGTTCTCTGGGAAAGCATCTTCAGTACAAAAAGTTGCCAAGACAGGTGGAAGGAAAGACATACGCGCAATGTTGAGGGTCCCAGGGTCAGCCGCCGAGCCCCAAAACTTCTTGCCTTTCGCGACAAACAACTTGTTGAGGCCGCTAAGCTGGATAGCTCGTTCCTCCTCAGAGTCGCGTTCTTCGACCGGTGCAGCGAGGGCCTGGCTAGCGATGAACAGAGCGAAAGTGACGAAGAATGGTCTGAGCTGCATGTTGCTGGTAAAGGTGGATTCCGTAGAAATGGTCTGCCTGTAGTCAAGTTATTTTGCACCTGGTTTTATACGCGTTCCAAGGATAATCTACGGCATATAGAGCACGGGATCGCGCTGTAAGGCAAGACGTCGGCGACACATGTGACAAGGTCCCTTGGAATTCTTATCCGTCGTGTTTTCGTGCAATGACGAGAGAATTCAAACGGCCAGGACATGCTCCTGCTAGGCTCTGTGCTGTTAGTGGACTCCGCTAGAGACTACCTTGGTCTCGAACACAGGCTACTAACTTTATTTTGCTTCTGATTTTACCGAGGAAGCGCTGGTCTACATCTGGACGTTATCCCTCATCCCGTGCAGCCTTGCATCGGTCCGGGTGAGCAGCAACGAGCAGATGCACCGGAATATTATGCAAGTCGGCGCCCTGATTCGTCCTGCAGGTCAGTGCAGACCGTGCGTGTGAGGTGGATTCTCGAAGCTGGGTAATGGAGAAATTGCCCGAGTAAAGTTAGATTCAGGCATAGAATGAGCAACAGCTAACATGGTGGTCGAAAGCCATGCCGGGGCCCGGAACATCGAACTTGGAAAGGATCATCGGCTCAATCCGGTGGCGTACGATCACGTACTCGAATTCAGATAGGATTGTCTTTCAAAACCTCAAAAATACAGACACGAAAATTACATCAAGGCGTTTACGACAGCTCAGAGACTACAGACGTGTAAGCCTCCTTGGGCTGGTAGGATGAATCAAACAGAAGAGGAGTCGTTGAAGCCCTCCACGAGTTCTGAGAAACAAAGGTTAGTTTTCAATGGGAAAAAGCCTGACGAAAAGGACATACCACATCGCTGACACCCCAGCTAGTGATACTCACGCAGGACTCAACAGCCAGGCAGGCATCGACAACAGCAGTGTAATCCGCCGCCGCCCCACCGGCAATGTCAAGCTCAGTGATAGCAACTTCCGCACCCGTCGAGGCAAGGAGCTCGAGAGCAGCTTGCACACCGCTGGTACCACCGGCCTTCAGACACACATTTTTGAGCATAGGGTCATTGAGGCAAAAAAAGTACACTCACCGACAGGTGGGACTGCGTGCCAATACCGTCGATAAGCGTCTCGTTAGCGTTGATCTTGTTGACGAGGTCAGCAACAGCCTGAGCCTTTGCATTTGCTGAATCAAGGTTGTAGTCGTTGATGTAGAGCCTTTAATCATTCTAGTTAACACACATGTCGATGTGGAAAACCAAGGCTCACTTGGCAGTTGGGTCGGCAGCACGCGCAGCTTGGAAGGCGATGGTGACGAAATCTTCACCCAGGACGTCGGAGAAGACGCTGGAGCGGAGGCTACCATCCTCGTTAAAAATCTCGCTGTTTGAGGCTCAGTAGTACTCTATGACCGATTCACGAGTCAACTAGACGTACTTGACGACATCCCAAGCATAAAGCTGGCCGGCGTAGCGTCCCGCAAGGTTGGAAATATGGTTTTGGATGACCGATGTCTATCGTCTTTCAGATTCCAGTTCAGTAGAGCATGCGCAGTACCCACCAGCTCGGCAGCATCGGTAATTGCGGAGACCCAGCTGGGGAGCTGGGAGTGCCAAACTGGATCCATTAAGTCTCAAGACTGTCTGCACAGATTGAGGGGACGTACCGAGTGTGTGTCCACGGATTTGTTTGTTGTTGGTAGTGGCCCAGTCGACAAGCGCGTCGGAGCCAGTGAAGGAGAAGGAGTTTTGAGTGCTCTCAGTAGCATCCCACTACGTTTAAAGGTCAGAACTGGGCAGTACGCGGCCGAGAGCTCGAGTCCCTGTACACACACCTTCATCGAATTTTCGGGGGTGACCTGCCCGAACTCAGAGGCAAGAATTGCTTCGTTCTCTGAAACCGTGTTAACGAAGTTTTGCGAGTTGGCCAGCTACTATGTAGAGCCTACCAGCAATGCCAATAGTGCCCGAGTCTGCGGCAGAGCCCTGCGCAGGAATTAGCAATCTGTGCATCGATGCATTCCCATTGGCAACATACCCAAAACTCCTTGCCCTTCGCCTTGAAAAGCGTGTCCAGACCGCTGAGCTGCCTCTGCTGCACGGCCATTGCGTGCGACTGCGCAACGAGAATGGCAAAAGCCACCAGTGAGCTCTTCATCATCATCTTGCTTGTAGAATGCAGCGGGAGTAGCCTGTGGACAAAAGGAAGGAAGTGGATTCTGGGGTGTCTCCTGTAAGTCTCCCGCACCTTTATACGGTATACCACTCGCTCATGGAAAATCTACGGCTTAAATAGCCCCACGACACAGTGGTTGATGCGGGGAAACGGTCGCTAGCCTCAAGCAAATGCTTCCCGTTCTGTGGTTGGGCTCTCGGCGCGGTACAAGGATGGCACTCGGTCCATTTATCGTCATTGAATATCAACGTCTCTTTCCACGTCTGTTTCTCGTGCCTAGAGCCCTGTGACCGAGACGAGGTGATCTGAATGAAGAATAGGATAAACACCGGCTTCATCTTGTCGACGCGCTCTTCAGTTTATAGGCTTGTCAATGATACAAGATGTCGCGTGCATATCGACATGAGAGTATGGAAGTAGACCACGACCGAGATCGGTCCGATGAGTCGGGTGCAGTACCGAGCTAGTGACCACTGGAGCGTTTGCGCGCCATTCAACAGTACCGAGTAATTCTCACAGACAAAATACCACTGCCCTTGGTCTGCTTATTTTCGAATTATGGCCTCTGATGGTTAGATATCCGGCGTGTCAACGACAAAAGCAAAATAAGGGCTTGACCGGGAATTGAACCCGGGACCTCCTCCAAACAACCAAAGACCCTAAGAAGGAATCATACTACTAGACCATCAAGCCATGGAAGAGAAGCCCAAGTGACATTTACAAGCTGTGACGCAACCCGGCCTTCATTTCCATGGCTCACAGGCGTCCGGAGCATATCCAAAGCAAGTGAAAAGGCATGGCATATATATAGATATATATATCGTATCACCTAGTGGGGCGGATCAAGGCATACTATACCACCTCTCACAGGGGATGTTTTGGACTTGGTACAGGAGATTGAGGATGGCGTCGCACCAATGAAGATGTCGGTCATTATGAAGGCGAAGGCGGAGGGTCAAGCTCAACTTGCAGTACCGGTGGCATGAACTGGGACGACGCAGCATTCATTTTAGACTATGATATAGGGATAAGAAGTGTGTAATATATTCTATTCAGCAGACATTGACTCTTCCAATGGTGTTCAGCGCGAGATAACGAGGATGGAGTACGCACCTTCGTCGAGGACATTCAACGCGCATTTAGTTGGTCATCGAGGCTCGATGACCTTAAGCCCGGTCGCCACGACAAGGCAGCGCGACGACTCCTCGAAAGCCGCTTCCCGAGACGCACCTTGTATTCCACTCCCTT